ATGGGCCACTCTCTAAACAACTATAGCCGATGAGATTTTGCACGTCTTGTGAAGGATCCCTAGCAGCCGACAGACAAAGCATGAAAATTGTAAATGAATCAAGAAATACTTAAATCTCAAACATGTCAGGCAAACCTATTCAAGCAAAATACGGAAGGCAGAATTGAAACTAAAACAAGTATAATAAAATACAAGAAAACAAAAATCGATTAGTAGCAAAAACAACAGTCCCGTACAAAGAACCTTAAAAAGGGTCAGCTAACCAGATTTTATTATTATTCATATTGAAAGAGAATTGCGAGCTGGAAACAACGGTCCGATTTTTCGTAACGAAGGAAAGCGGCCTACCGGATGAAAAAAAGATGGACGTCCGCTTAGTAGCATGGCTTCACACATGGACCCCAAGCATTCGAGCCTAATTCTCACATTGAAATATTTGTGGATTATACCTGCAAGTATCAATCTGTTCCAGGCACTCACACCCCAATGTGCAAGTTATGGTTGTCTTGCGCTTTCACACAAGAAAAACGGTATCGGATGTGACAAGAAAATATGAACTCAATCTCCTTGGGATACAAGGGTGTCGTCTTAAGAGGATGCAAAGGTCACAGAGAAAGCTCTCTATAGCTTCCTTCCAAAAATAAGGAACTTATTCGGAAGGTTACGAGCCTAGCCAAACGGCTGACCTACCGTAGCCAGCAGGCGACGCCCACTACATGCCACCACTGGATCAACACAACGGCGACCTGCATGTGAATTGGTTTGTGATGCGGGAGACTAATGCAGCATCTATGACTCCCTTCTCTCCCACACCAGTCTCCGATGGCCAATGTTAAAAGAACTGGAGGCCAGTGTAGGCGCAATGACGCCAAAGATTGACAATCCGTCGTCACGTGTAACACATGACTTGATCCCTACAGCCGAATACGGTTAAATGAGAGCACACCACACTATCGTATTAACAAACGGAGAGTAATGGGCTAGTTTCCTGCTTTTCTTCGTTGACGCATTGGTAGTCATATGACGGGTCGAACTGCCAGTTGGCAGAGAGCATGTTCGCGTTGGATATCTAACGACGGCCTTCAGTATTTAACGGACAGCACGCTCCAATCTAGGTTCTATCTACTCTTGCATGCGTTTGCATTACATGGACGTTGTAACGAGCCAGTCCGAACCATGGGTGTTTGAACGAACCAGTCACTTTTGGCGCGGATCCATATGAGGATGGTATTCACGTCTGTTGGTGATGATGCCGGTTTTCTTTCTCTTTCCCTCCGTTGACACTATTCCCCCCCCCGTTCCGTGTCGCCGTCACACTCGCATCGTAGTCTTCTCGCCGTCA